GCGTTATGAAATATACAGAATGAGATTTCTGCTGCCCTGCCAAGATATCTGGAAGGGCACACAGTCTCACCTGTGGTCTAAGAATAAGCCACAGTGTTGAATGCTTGAAACAGCCCTTAACCTGATGTTTTTTTCCTAAAAATGATTAAGGATGGTTCACACTGTTTTGTGAACTGGTTGCTTGTTAGTTATGAGGTGATTAACAAATGTGTTCTTTAGACTAAATGACATTACATCTTAAATACAAATGAACACATTCACATTTTTTTAAGTTAATGCAGATAGGAAAGCTAAAACCCTGAATGTGAAATTACTAAAAGAATAGGACAATTTGAACAGTTGATGAGGGTCATTTGCCAATGGAGAAATTATTGTATTTACCAGTGTGAGTCACATTTAAATTAGTGAAATTCGTCCTTATATAAACTACTAAATATCAAAGAAGTTAATTGTGTATATGTGTTTATGTGTCTGCATGTGTACTCACGTATATGTGAAGGGTACCTTGTAGACTTTTAAAAAGACAGACGAACATAATCATAAAGCTATGTTAACATCTCTGATTTTTTTTCTAATAAACTGAGACCACTTTCTGCAGGTTTACCTACGGAATGTTAAGGATGCATTTTTGTTAAAATATACCACTTGGGATCATTTTTCCTTCTATAGTTAGAAGAAATATTTCAGCTGCAGAAATTACTTGAGCTGTGAAAATTTATTTTGAAGAATGCTGAAATAAAATGCTCTTGGGACCAAATACTCTTATTTGGGGGCCAGTTCAGATCTGTGTTGTACTTGTCTCATTCTGCTCTATATTACAATCAGATGGTTCATAGCTTGTTTCCTGTGCCCATTGAAAAGTCCTCTAATGCTGGGACATGTCTAAATGTGACATTATACTTTTTAGTTTTTAATTTTGCTGCAGAATCAAGAAGCATATAACACATTTGGGTGGTATTGAGGGGAAAACTGCCCATAATTGGATGGACAATTATCTTTAAAGTAAAGCAAGTTAAGAAATATTTTATTTCCCCATGCTTAATCCACATAATGCCAAAAAAGTAATTTATTGTGCTAGCAAATACAAAATTTTTGATCTTTCATTAAATTTTCTGCCTGGCCAATTTCTCTTACAATAGTAGAATTATCTTCATGATGTCATTATCTTTTTCTTAGTGAGAAAGGTTTGTGATTATTTACTCACTAACAAACTCATTCATTAATTTACTCATTCATTAATTCTCCAACATTTGAAAGGGGCCTATTTTTATGTTAATAACTCAATATTACACAAATATATTGAGGAACTTTTAATTTTTACTATTTCCCCATTTTTTATATACATTGCTTTTTCACTGACATTATTTATCCAATAAAATGCATTTTTATCACTAGTTAAGCTTGTTAAGTTTTTGTGGTAGAATTAGAGCCTATCACCCAATATTTCCACTACTCTCCCTCTTCAAAGTTAAGTATATAAAGTGTAGTTTTGGCAAATGGATTGTGAGAAGTGTGTGATTGTCGCATTATCTTCTCTCTGGCATTGTGATCATGGCAATCTGTGTTAGATAATCTTTATCAGTCTGGGTGCCTGGGCTTCGACAATGAATAGACTATCTTCTCCACCTGTTGACTGGGTAGTGTGAGCTAGAAATAAAATATGGTTACTTCAAGCCACTAATATTTGGGTATTGTTTGTTTATGCTATATAATTTTGCCTATTCTAATCTGTACAATTATGTTTAGATATGTTTTGCTCTTGAATGCAATACCTGAAAAGTAAGCGAAGATAAAAGAAAATCTTTGAAATGTATATTCAAAAACATTTAGCTCCATATAATAAAATTGGTGAGATATCCCAATTTATCACGATTTTTAGGTTGTATGTAAAAATAACAGGCTAGGTACTAACATTTAAACAATGCTGTGACAATTTAAAAAAATTTATAGTTAACCAAAAAAGTGCTACCTCTGAAAGCCTATGGCTCTTCCTAAACCCCAGCAAGATTGTGATTTAGCTAGTTGTGTGAATGGCATGTCTAATTTGTAATACTAAGTCAAGAGAAAAAATGGCAAATCATGTTTTTCATTTAATTGTTCTCTCTAGTAGTCTTTTTCAATATTTTTGGATAATTATTAATCTAAAAACAAGCAAAACTTATGGACAACAGTATGTTTGGTTATAAATAAAATTTACTTCACAGTGAATACTGTCAACTTTATCCTTTGATACTTTTGGTATATAGTATTAATTGATATTAACAACTGTTCTAAATTAAAAGTTCCATGATTAGTACTAGGATTTAAAAACTACTATCCTATTGGTTTTTATACTGATTTTCAAATATACTTTAGTAAAATTATTTTTTAACTTGTCATCTGTTAAAAATGTGGAAAATGATTAATAAATGTTGACTAATCCATTAATGTGAGAATATTTGAGTTTTTTTTTTGTCTTTGGAATGAAGGGCAACTTTAATCTGCATATATACAAAATCAAAATATTTAAAGTGAATTTTAATGATGTTGATAAATAAGCAAAGGGCAATATATAAATACTTAAAATATTTTATTTAATTCCATACTGGATAGCTCTTTGGAAAGGAGATTATACCAAAAAAATCTTTAATTGGGATTTGGCTTGTGTTGGGATTTGGAAATAATGAGTTTTTATGTTGAATTCCCTAACCAAGGTGACTTCAACACATCTAAGTAAGATTTGTGATTTGGTACTTACTCCTTTTCTTACTATACATTGTACTGAATAATATGTAATCTCAGTAATAGAGTCAAACTGTCTTTAGAATGGCTACAAAATTAAGAATCTGGGACATTCTAAAGTGTATATATTTGTTACACTGTATGCATCCTTTAAAAGCTGGTGAAACTTTCATAATTTCCCATTGTGTGATTGAGGAAGGTTATATCCAGTATTGCCCATTAAAAATAACTTTTTGAACAAAACAGTGAGTGGAAACTTGCTAGTTATTGACTATTAAGAAAAGTATTAGAAAATATAAAGCCTACTATGGAGCATAATTATAATGTCTGGGAAATTATGTGGTTAAAATGGTCAAAAATGTTTCCATTCTTTATTTGCTTCATGAGTTTAACAATAAAATGTTCATAATTTAAGAGATAACTTTTCCACCTTGTCTGAAGTTTTATGACTTTTTGTATCCTTTGAGCCTGTGATTCTTTTTTTAGGGTATTTTTCCTAAATAAATTTAATTAAAATATGTTTATCACAGCCTCATCTATATTAGTTATAAAAAGAAAATGATTTTAATGCTTAAACAGAGAAAAAATGGCTAAATTACTGTGATAAATTAATAAAATAAAATTTTATTAATAAACGAATACATAAGTATGTGCAATGATATTCATAGTATATTTGTAGGTGAAAAATTAAGTTAGAAAATGGTATGTACCACTCTGACCTCATTATGAACACATGATATGTTAGATATTTTTTAAATATGCATGCATATATGTAACATATTTACAAAAGACTAGATGCATGGAAAAATAGGAGATAAGTTTAAAGGTCTTTTTAATTTTATTTTCTGCTTTCTCAAAATTACTTCAAAAAAATTTCAAAACATTTTCCAGCTTTATTGATATATAACAGATGTATAACATTGTGTAGTTTAAGGTATATAAATTTGATTTGATAAACTTATATATTGCTAAATAATTACCACAGTAGCATTAACACCTGTAATACCTCACTTAATTACAATTTCTTTTTTTGAAGTAAGAGCACAATCTCTTCTCTTAGCAACTTTCAAGTATATAATACTGTATTGTTTATTGTAGTCACCATGCTGTACTTAATTTTCTGAATTTTATGAAATGAATATGTGTTGTCTTTGTATTGAATAAAAATAATATACTTTATTACCATTTTGGACTCGTTAGTGAACATTGTTATAGAAAATTCATTTTAGAGAATATCTGGCAACTTCATTACAGTAATGGTTTAAACCTTTGAATAAAGGTTTTGTGAATACTGTTGACTAAGGATTTTGAAAATATAAAGTAAGCAGTGTGGTTTTTTTTTTTGTCTTTTTCCTATTTAGGTATTTTGAAATTGATATATAGAAGGGACTTAGCTACAGACATGTTTTGCAGTAATTATCAAAAATCAGCTCATTAAGCTTGCTGTCCTGACCTAAGTATGTTTTTATTGAGAAAAGCGTATTACTCGAGATAATTCTCATTTAAGGCACTAAAATCAGTATTAAAGGGTTTTAAATTACAGCTGACAAGTGTGCAAAGCTGATAATTTTTTTAAAGTTCTAAATAGTGTTTAAATTTCTGAGATAAGACTGTATTAACAGAGTTTCATACATATCTTTTTTCCCTTTTTTTATACACATGAACACATAAGAATAGAAAAGACAATGACCACACATACTGTTTTTTTAATGTGTTGGCATGATTTCAAGAGATAATTACTGTTGAAATAAAAAATTCACCCTTAAAAATGTTTTTTCCCTCAGTCATACTGAAATATGAACTATTGTTTATATTTCATACTTATGACTATAGGCAAAATAACAGTGTAGCATATTTTATTCTGGCCATTATATACATGTTAAATGCAATTGTAAAACTCAAAATATGCAAATATCTTATTAGCCATTCAAAATGATTACATTATTTGTAATTTATTTAGCTGTATTTGAGATGCAAAATTAGACATGCGCATATTTTCTTTCTAGGCTACTTATTTTATCCATGTCTGAATTAATTGGGTTATATTTCCCAGTAAATATCTTTAGTCTGAAGGACAGTATATGGGAAAGTTATTGAGTAAAAATACCCTTGGAAAATTCTTGATAAGTCCAATCTTGTCTGCTTGCAGTCTTTTCTTTAGGGCACTTTGGTCACTAATGCTATTTTTGTTAAGAATAAGCAATGTATTTAGTTTGTTGATCTTTTTGTCTTATTTTCAAAAGCTTTGCTAATAATTATTTTTCTTTTTCCGATTATAGGTTGTAAAATATATGGCCTATAAAAAATCATTTCCTTTGGGAAAGAATTGCAGAAAAGTCATCATCCTTTGAAGACAAGTTTGAATAAAAGGTAAATTCAGGCCTCTGGACATCGTATAGGTGTTTGCTTTGCAATGTATTTGTTGTTCACATCAAAATTACTTTGTTCACCATTTTGTTTGTTTTTAAGGCAAATACTATTGTTGAAGATTAAAGATAAGTTTTCTTGAATTACATAAATATAAGAAAGTTTATTTTTAGTGCATACTATTTTGCATATTCTTTAAAATAATTGCTTAAAATAGTTTGAAGTAGTGTTTCTGAATTAATTATGGTCTTAATTAGTTTAGATTAAGAGTTCTGAAAACTATCTCCTATGAAAAGAGGGAGTAGAAGGCAGAAAATTTTTATTGGAGTACTTTAAATACTAATCACCAAGAATGGGAAATAATGAACTGTTTCAAATATCCTTCCACTTGTAATGATAGAATGTCTTTAGATAAATTTACAGAATTTATTTTACTTTACTAATTGATTGCTATATATAATTCATCCACAGATATATTAGTGAAAGCTGGATTCTAAACGACTTCCCTATGATAAGCTTTCCAATTAATTCTTCTCACACTGTTTTCTTGGTGACATTTGAACTTCTTTCATTATATGAAACACATCTGGAATGAGGCATTGCTGAATAATAATCACTGGTTTAAAACAATGACCTCAACTAATACTGCTTTAAGTGAACCACATTTAGGAAGAATGTATAGGCATGTCTGTTCAGCCTGCCTGTATAGTGCTAGATTTGGTCAAAAAGAAAGAAATCGAATAGCAAATTGTGTCTTCATTGTTTGATAGAATTAACTATATTAAATCATATTTTTCCTCACATCTGCAAATATTTTTCCTTTTTCTTATCTGATATGAAGAATATTACAATAAGTAAATACTAAAAAAGGATTATCTAAAACATGTAAAGTCTTGTATTATGTTACATTTGTATCATAAATTTACTGCATTTCTTTCGTGGTATATTTCATAAAATAGATGCTGCTGCTAAGATCTTGTTTAAATGGCTTGCTAATACAAGAAGCAGATCATTTAAAATGGATCTTACATCTTTATAGGATGTTAGAAATGAAGACATTACCTCAAAATGTAGGTAATTATTGCCTCCTCTTTTATCAGTGCTATTTTCTGAGATATTATCATAAGAGAGCACTTTAGTATTAGGCAGGGCCTTCGAGTGGCAGTAAATCAGTCCAACTGAGTCATCACTGTCAGAGGCATCTGAACTACTGCAATGTTGTGGATCCTACCGAGAGTGTGAAATCACTTGACCCTTGGCATTAACCTTTGCTGAATGAATAGACACTGTTTTCCACATCGAGGAACAAAGCAGAAGACTATTGATTAAACACCGCATTCTCTTGATATTAAATACTGGCTGAACTCACTTCTTGCTTCCAGTTCCACAGGGAGAAACCCAGAGTTGCTGAGTCTCACGAGAATGGATGTTTGTAATTCAGAGCAATGTTGTTCCTGCAAAGTACTTTTTTCTCCTTTGATCAATAACTAGCAGCCATGATCAGCTATGAGTATGTATTGTCAATTCTGACCTGTGTATTTTATCACCTAAGGTGAGAGGTCATGGTGCTGTGAATACATAATATTTCAGTTCTAAGCATGAATTGTCTCCTGACTTCAATATCTGTTTGAAAAAGCAATTTGTTTTATTTTATTTCTTGTTTATGAGTCATTGTTTTGGCAATTGATTTGTCTGCTTTAGTAAAATATGAAATAGAATTCTTTGGTTTAATCACTGTTTTTGCAGATGTTAAATTTTTTTGAACTTGATTTTATTAGAAGAAATCATAAAAAGTGCATTTTAGGACATATGATTTGCTTTTTGGGAAAGGGAACTAATAGATTTTAATAAATTTCTCAAGTAAGGTGAAAGCAAATGCTTTGGAAGAGATGTCGCAATAGCTGTGAGCATAAAGAGAACTAGAAAAGCTATTTTACCAGACATTTCAAGCTAATTATCTTCTGATCCATTGCAGTCCTGCACTATTGACAACAGTTTGACAGCTTCTTTGTAGACCTATTTTATCTAGAAGGAAACATGTATTATTGACAGATAAGTCAATTCAATTCAAGCAACTAAAGTTAAATTAAAAAAATTTAGCCACAAATGAGAAAATCATCTTTATTTTAAACTTAAGTAGCTTCTGTGTGCTTATATAACTGGAATTACTTTATTATAGGAAGCAGAATAATAGGTACAAGGTCTTCTCTCTCCAAGGTTTCATATTATTTTTGACTCTAAGATACTGCACCAGTAAACCTCTTTATAAATAACTGTTTTCATTGTTAAAGATTTTGACTGGCTTGTGTTCAAGACCAGAAATTCTAGATCACCCAGTTGCGAATCTGTCATGGTTGAGCAAAGATTGCTCCTTGCCTGGATAATAGAAAATATTTTCTCTGAGGACATAATGGTGTAATTTAATACACTCACATTCTCACGCAGTTTGCAGTTTTTGAAAAGGAGTATTAGAAGGCTGAGGAAAGTTGGTAAAATGAATCATGCTGCTAAACTTAATGGTCGATCCTTTTGATTTGATGCTTTCTACAGGATGTGTAGCCCCTGAAATCTTTCTTTGAAAGCTACTGAAGCTGTGAAAAATATGAAAAACAGTCTATTTAAACACCATTTTGGTTATGTATCATATATTCCCTTTTCTTTATTACTAAGGACATTTGTAAAGAAGTCATTTTTACTTCACTATTATCTTGAGCACAGACTTGCTGTATGTACACAAGAACCTTAGACTTTCCTTGGTGCTTGAGGGTATCTACATACAGTTTATTTGACTGATATAATACAGTACCGACTTGTGCATGGCAAATATGATCAAGATACTTGTTTGCAAATGCTATTATTTTAAGGTTATAGTTAATGAAAACATTTAACGAGAATTTGTTGCTTTGATGTACCAAGTGTTCTTTATTCTGCTGTGCATATTAGTGGAGGAGGTATTTTTGTGATAGTTCAGACAAAATCAGACAGAGTCGGCAAGTGGCTGTGTCCAGATCACACAGCAAGTTTGTGACAAAGCTGTGATTAGAATCCATGTAGCACATGCTGCAGACCCAATTATAATCTCTTTGGTGCCTATTTGTGACTTCCAAATGGAAATTATTTCAAGATGAGGTTAGTGAGATACAGTGAAATGGTAAGTAATTACAGTTTATTGCAATAGAAATATTGGACTAGTCCAATTCAGAACTGGAAGAAGAAGGAAGCAAAAGAGAGAGAAGAGCAAGAAAAACAAGAAAAAGAGGAAAACAGTCTTGGCTGTGTCTTCCAGATTTCAAAAGAAAAGATCAGATAAGAACCTCACTTGAGATATATGCAGAAGTAGCATTTATGCTAACAGGGGTGAAGACTTTGTAATTTTTGTAATGCTCAAAAGAGTAAGTAGGTTCTCATTTACATTTCTGCTAGATTAAACCCTCCTGTGTTTTTCTTTTTTGAAGTAATCCAGAGATGGTTTAGAACACACTTAGATAAAATGAAGAGTGACTCTTTCTCCTGCTTAGAGGTGAAATCCAGGACTGATTACTCACGCAACTCTGTTGTCTCTGTATTAAAAGGTTCCTCTAGGGGTTATAGAAAAGCTGGATAGTAAAAGTTCCAAAAGTATTCTGCCACAGGTAGATTACTCAAAATTCATCTTTTCTGAGACTTGGCGAGATTCCCATTTTTTTCTGATATGTCATGAGAAACTTCTTTTTAAACTTCTCTAAAACAGTTCCTGTCTAAACAGAATACCTCTCAAGATTTTCATAGCCTTGAACGTAACAGTCTCTAGCCTGGTCAGGAATCTTTTTAGTGAGAGTTTTTTTGTTACCTTGAAGTAGCAGAAGACTTAGAAATTGACTCCATGTTGTTAAATCTTTGCCTGGGATCTAGTAAAACTTCATATAGTTTATCTGACACAGTAGAGTTTATCTTTTTACATTTGTCATTCCTCATAAAAGATATCGACCAGAATTTTTGTGACTTTGACCAGCAGAAACCCTTAGCTGACATATTCAAGGCTGAAATGCAGTCAGCAGAAATGGAAACGCTTTGACCCTGCCACTGTGGCAAGAATGTCTTCCCGTTAGACAATCTGGTTAGATTCTTTATGGACCCAAAGGGAGGTACATGTGCTGGGCATTGTGTTTATGTTTTTCCTGACCTACCTGCTCCTTAGGGCTACATCCAAAGACTGCTGCTTGTGTAAAACCTTTCAGAACTATGCATCATTGATCTAGCCATAATCACACTGATCTGTTGGCTTTTCACTAAACTTTACTTAAGTGAAAACTAACCTTCTTCTTCCTGTTCGGGGTTATGATTGACTGTATGTCTTTTGAATGGTGTGAAGATGCTGGCTGTAGAACTGGAACACTGCTTTTAAATGCCTTTAAAAGAAAGAAAGAAAAATGTGTCCCCTCAACCAGTATAGAGCAAGATAAAAGAAAATAATGATGGTGCACACTGCATTGTCAATGTTGACCTTTAGATAGTCTCTTGAGAACATCTCAACAGCTTGAAAAATGTCTCTCCCCACATTTCTTTATTCCAAAATTATATTTAAAAATAAGAATTTTACAAAAGTAAATTTTAACTCATTGATGCAATTTTTCAATTATGCTACATATATATTTATTGAGAGTCCCTTCATTATGTCAGTTTCCTGGACGGCAAACAGTTACCACTTCCTGCCTGAGATATAGAACTAGCATAGCTAAAGAAGAGGAAAAGGAAACACGAGGCCACAAGGATATAAAAAAAGAATAAGAACACCAGGAACCTATGGGCATGAGATCTAGTATAGAATGTTACCAGTCCTATTCTCCATTCTGACCTTCTCAAATCACTTAGAATCTGTGGACTTGGTACATGAAGTTAAGTTTTATACCCAATGCATAGGTAACAAGATATAAAATTCATAGTAAGAACTGGCTTAAGTGACTTTTATGTAGGCAGAGTTTATTTCAGATGCTGAGCTTTCACTATATTCATCTATAATTTCATGACACTAGGGTTTCTAAGCACTTAATAGTATTTATGGTCCTCAATCATTTCTCCCAGTACACTCTGTGCATGTATGTAATTTTTCTACAACTAATAGCTTATTCTTTTATAAAGAGTGGTAATGGGAATGGGTAATTATCATCTAGTTGCTTAGGACTGTACTTTTGTGTATGCAAGGGCAGACCTCTTGCTCCACCTTTCAAAATAGCATTCCTAAACATCACAGTGCACCCAGAGCTGCTGAACGGGAGCATGTGTGCTGACCCAGATTATTAGCACATCCGTCTAGCCAGCAACACAGTGGAATACTTTCCATTTTTCACACTGCACATCTTCTGTATGAAAACACACACATGCGTGCGCGCGCGCACACACACACACACTTTAATCAACAATGTAGCTCTGTTTAAGAATTAATATTTTCAATCATGATTTCACCTGTTATCCTAGTTCTGAAATTAATAATAATAAGCTATGGTGGTTAAATAAAAATATTTTTTAAATTCTTGATTTCTTTCACATATTTCTCTAGATTCTTTTTTTTCCCTTGTTTTGTTTTCAATTTTGCTATGAAGGTGGTTGAGAAAAAAAAATTCCCGGTTGGGTCTAAAAGTAGTCTAGTTGGGTGTAAATAAAGGCTGATGAGTCTATTTACTATAATATATATGTAAGTTTAATAAACAGGGTAGTGACTGTGTAGGAACCAAAACGGTGGTTGTAGTACACTGACACAAAGGAATTTTATAATCAGCAGATGATTCTGTTATGTAATAATCAATTGTGGCTCTTGTTGAGGGAAAAGTTTTATATCATAAAGCAAGGAATGACATCTGATACTCAGAGAAGAATGAACACCTCAAGAGAATTTTGAGAACATATTTTAAGGTCTTTGCTGAGAAGAGAACCTGGCAACTGACTTCAGCAAAGAATTGTTATTCTTTTATTTCTTCTAGTGTTCAAGCTACTACATTTAATGTTGTTTAGTTCCATTTATTTTCTGGCTCAGTAAAAAGTCCCTTTTATAATTTTTAGAATGGCCATGATTCTCAAAGCAGGTTACCAAATGTTATGAAATTAGGCAATCGTATTATCCACTTAGAGTAAATGTGAGGTAACATCCTTCCTAATTTATAGTTATCTATTCTAGAAGATACTTCTGGGGTGTATTATTGTCATGAGTATAAGTGATGAGGAATATGAAACAGTTTCTGAAAGAGAAGTTATCCCAAGATATTCAGTGCAGAGGAATATCTGATGTTTATCTGCATGTTGTAAAGAACTTTAAGTGAAAAAAGGTCTTGGGATTTTGTGTGTGTGATACAGCCTTCAGGAGAAGTTTACGCAGTCCACATGTTGGAAGGAAATTTAAACTTCCCTCTCAAATGGCATTCTCATCCGTTTGAGTAGTTATTTTGTCCATTGAAGGTGTCACTATAGCAGATGTATGCTCTGTCTCTTAGCCCATATCACACTTGATTCTGATTGCTTTCCATCTCCCTGACTAAGCTGTGGCTCCATGAGAGAAAGAGGAGTAGGTACATCAGTATATTTGGATCCTATTCTTAGAAATTGGAAATTTTTATATACCCTTAGCATCTTTGAAGGGGTCTGAAACTTCAAGGAAACTGGGCAATGGGAGCCCCAGATCATTGGATGTATTTCAGATGTGAAGGTGTGACACTGAGACTTGCTTTTCTTTTGAAAAAACCTTCATCATTCTCAGCTAGTTTTACCCCCATGTCATTATTAAAAGTCTCAGTCAAGTAAGATCTATTTTTAAAGACACTCACCAAAGAAATAAAAATTTGCTACTAACAAAAAATAAAACATAAGTTAACAATATGTGTGGCTCTAGTAGAATTTATTATCATAAACTACAAATACAGTTTTTAAACAAGTTAAGTTGTATTCCTTATGCTAGTAACAGTGTGTGTCCCAAGTGAGTTGATTGTCCATCAGTAGTAGGGGATCCTTTGTGAATTATTGTTGATGCGGAACACCAGTTTTTACTGATAACACCAATTTTGATGGTAATCATAGCTTGGCCCTGGGGTCTGGTCTGCTTGCTTGCAAATTAACCAGTATTTTTTTTTTTTGGTGCACAGGATAAGATATGTGAAACTGACTTTGGAATTGTGATCAATAGCCTTTGATCTCAGAATTCTTTGTGTTCCTTTTTGCAGGTAATAACCAGCACACAGAACACTTTCTATCTGCAAGAAGAAATACAAAGGAGTTGGAGTTAGAAGTAGATCTCTAATCAGCCAATTTGAATGTGTAAGTAAAGGCTGGACAAAAAAAAAAGACTCATCTCTGTTATAAAAGTTTATTACTGGGAGACAGAACTCTGTATTTTAAAGCTTTAAAGACAAAACAGAACAAAACTTCTGTTTAATGAGCCCAGTCTTAGATGACCAACTGGTATACTGTAATTGTTCCCTGAAGTTGCACCTACAAAAATGGATTGTTTATCCATAATGGATTATTGGAACTAAATCTTTGAGGATGAAATAATAATATCAGACATACTAGACACCTTTCAAAAAGCAGAGTGAAAAAATATGAATGAGAAATTTGATGCAGAACCCTAGACTGGGTGTGAAGAGTCAGAGCACTTACAGGATATCTCGATATGGATCTACTGTCAAGGAAATAAACTTATACTAGTACTCCATCCTAGTTTTTGTAGTTTGACTCATTTTGAGTGTCCCTATATATATTTTACTGATGTCAACATTTTATTTTTCATTTTCTATGCAATTTATAATTTATTGCACTCTGTGTTTTCATTTATATCTTCTTGTCTTCAGAGCAAACTTTTTTCTTCCCTTAGGAATGTCCCACTGGCTATTAATGGAACATCCTGATTATTCATTATATGTATCTTAAAACTCAAGTTTTTATAAATAATCTCATGCATGCCATGACGTTTACCAATATAGAAGTCTTCTGACTAGCATACTAATAATACTTTTGAATTAACCTGTGTCTTTAGTATAGCAAAGGATATGCATTAGTATGGGTTTTATGGCTTAGTTGCAGATTGGTTAAATAGAGCTGCAGTTTGTTAAGGAAATAATGCATACAGACACTATGCTGAGCACTTGATGGACATTATATCATTACTCTTTACAATAACCTGGAGAGGAAAGTATTACACCCCAACTCCTCATTCTGTTTGCAGAGGAATAAACTGAGGCTCTAGCTCAAAGATGTTAAGTAACTTTCCCCAAACCACAAAACTAATAAGTGACAAACCTAGGCTATAATTCCAAAATGATTACTCTTTTAGTCCAAGTATACTGGCTCCGCATCACTTTTTATGATAAGATGAATGATTGTTTCATACATAGAATTTATGTTTTATGTTTGTATTTTCTAATTCAGTGTATAGTAGTGAAAATGTTCCTGGGAAACAGAGAATGGAAGAGGTTTTCTGTTTCTTGGTTTGGGACATGTTTGTCTACTTAGAGCTTCGGTCACAATCATAGTTTATTTTCTTTCCTTATTTTACTAAAAATTTCTTTTCTGTATTACTCTTGGCTTTGAGTCTGTATCTTATTATAGGGAACAGCTAAATGAATAATCATTAGCAACTTTTGGGTAATGTACTTCTATATAATGGGAGAAAATTCATTACAGAATGCTAATATGATAATGTTAAATTTATTTTGATTTAAAAAAAAAGCTAAAAAATGAGTTTTCAGTATAAAAAGTGCCCAGGGAACTATTTAGTTTAAAAACATTACATATTTTCAAGATGAGGATAGGAAAATAATGGACCTACAGTGAGCACAAGGACTTTTATACCTGAGCATACTTGCCCAGACCTTGTTTATTTTCTTGTCTATGACCACTTGCCCTTTAGATAAGATTTCAAGGTATTGATTTTTTGAATTAAAAAAATCCTCATATTAATTTTTTTACCACTGAAATCAACATGCAACATACCACAATAATGATCTTCCATTTCCCCACAAGAGAAAAGCATTATTAATTTTATTTAATTAATCCATACAAAAACCGAGCCATTACTACTGTGTGTTAGGCACTGATCTGACGCTGGTAATATGTGAACCAAATAGACAAAAGGTCTCTCTCAAGTAATTTCTATGCCAATTAACAAGAGTGATAAGTACATAGTATGACATGTAGTGTTGAGTGCTAAGAAAATAATAAATGGGTTAGAGGGAATATTGGAGATGATCAGTCTTAGATATGGTGTCCAAGGAGAACCTAGATGAGATGGTGTCATTTAAGTAAAGACTAGAAAGACGTGAGGTAGCACATCACACAATCCACTTTTTAAATTATTTGTCTTATAAAATATATCTTCTAAGTTAATATAGGTGGTTTGAGGTTTGCTTGGCATTATGTAACTATTAGATTGATATTGGTGTTTAAGTGTCTTGTTATCAGCCCAGTTTTAATGATTTCTAAAGCTATGTGTGTATATGTATTCGTTTATATTCCTTAGGCTCCCTGTTTTTTTTTTTGTTGTTGTTGTTTATTTTTTGTTGTTTGGTTTTTTTTTTAGTTTTAATTTTTTACTGATGCCTGAATAGTTTAGAGGCAATTGGTTAAATTTTTGAGAAAAGTCATATCCTTGCCAATCGATATGTTGGCTGAATATTGGGATATAAGAAAGAATCCTGGACTATGATTTTATTTTTCAGAAGACTGTAGAGAACACCCTTTTTCTCCAAAGTAGACAATCCCTAAATCTCATTGCCTCGTTACATCTAATTTAAAGCCTAGAATTTCTAGGTGATCAACAATTAATTCTCTTCATTGGTGAAGATGTGGTTTCCTGTTACTGAGTTATCTAAAACCAAAACTTACCTGCCTTCTGTATGCCCAGTACACAATAGTGGAGAAAAATCTGATCTGTAATTTGAAAATAAAAAAATTATACCTGTAACTTGAAAATACTTTAAGCGTAGAGCAATATAAACAGCCCCCTTCTTGTAATGGTTCATCTTATAATTTGTTCACTTTACAATGATGCGAAAGTGATATTCCTTCAGTAAAAACCATACTTAAAAATTTGAATTTGGACCTTTTCCCTGGGGAGTGGTATGTGGTACATACTCTCTAGTGATACTGGGCAGAGGCAGTAAACTGCAACTCCTAGGCAGCCACTTTATCACGAGGGTGAATAGCTGATACACTTACAGCATTATGTACCCATACAACTTCTGTTTTTCACTTCCAGTACAGTTTTCAATAAATTACATGAACTATTGGAGAGTTCCTTATAAAATAGTCTTTGTGTTAGATGATTTTGGCCAACTGTAGGCTAATGTAAATGTTCTGAGTACATTTAAGGTAGGCCAGGCTAAGTTATAATATTTGGTAAGTTAGGTACGTCAAATGCATTTTTGACTTAAGATATTTTCAACTTAGGATGGATTTACTGGAACATAACCCCACCATGAGTAGAGGAAGATCTGTATGTGTGTGTGTCATTTAAATATATCCTATGAATACTTGGTTAACATTTGAAGCACTTTACTTGGCATCCACTAAAACTTACCTCCACCCCTGCAGCTACAGTAAGCCCTTCAATTATCTTTATCTCGCCACCAGGAAATGCTTTTTTATTAGTTAACTTTAGAAATGATTACTCATTCATGAAATAAGTGATGTTTAAGGTATGTGGACTGTCCAGAAATATACGTCTGCCTTTGCATGAATAAGATCTAAGAATTTAGTGACTTCAGCAGCCTTTCCTTTCTATTTGTTTCTAGTTTCCTTGGGACTGGCACTCTGGGCCTGGGCTTTTGTATAGCTCTGTGTTTAGACATATATACAGGGGCTCACTTACTTAATCCAACTCTAACTGTGGCTGAATCCTGCTACAAATATATTTGCTCACTTGTTTCTGATGATCCTTTCATGCATAGTGTGGTTAGAGCACCTAAAAAGAATAGGAACTGACATTTCATTGCATTTGCAGAAAAGGTTGTATAATTATACACATAATAAAATACATATATGGCTGAATTTGATCTCAGTCTTACAAGGTTATGGGAGGTGAAAATTTAGCCTTCACTTACCTGTAGCTATAGGAGGCCAAAGATACTTACAAAATAGAATCTAACAATTGTGAAGACCACATTGGTTTAGGTCAGTTCACAGTTACTACAGTGAAATAGTCCCATTTGAAGTGGGGAGAATGGAGCACATGACAGCCACGTGGTCCATAGCAGTGTTTGCCTCTCGTTGAAAGTAGCAATAGGGCTTCCTGTCCTAGCAGCTCCTGGTCCTGTTTTCTCTCTGTGAGGAGTTTCCATACTCAGTGCCATGTAGCCACATCTGGTCTAGGTTTTTGGAGGATGAGCCCCCTTGGTGGTTATGCACCTCTCTTTCCACTTCCTGTGTTGCAGATCTGGAGGCCTGGGGATTCCCTTGCTGAGTGTGCAGTTACAAGAGTTCTCAGCCAGCTTGTTTATTTAATAGTCCAGTTCTCTGCAAACCTTAGTAGAAATTCAGTCCATTTCTACCCATGAAGAACCACAGCCAAAGATCTTTGCCTAGATGTAGCCTTAAACCCAGGAGTTTTGGAGCTTGAAGATTGGGCTCCATGCTCTGACCTTTTCTCCCTTTATTTAAGAGCCACAACCTTGAAGCCGATTGGAACAGTAGCATGCTGTGTGAAGCTCTTCCCTAATCTTTGCAGGGCTACGCTAGTTCCCGTTGTTCTGCAGAGCACTCTTAAGGAACTGTGCTTCCTGGCAACATCCAGGGCATAATTTTATCTATTTCCAGGCCTCCCAGTTTTGAATATTTCTTAAATTTTATAACAGCTTTAGGTTTATTGAGAAATTACGAAGTTAGTACCAAGAATTCCCATATACCTGATAACCAGATTTTCCTTTTTAAACTTCTTACATTAGCATGGTACGATTGTTACAACTAATAATCTTAGCAATTAGTATTAACTAAAGTGCACACTTTATTCAGAGTTCCTTTTCTCTTCCAGAATCTCATCTAGGACACTGCATTGTATTTAGTTCTCATGTCTCCTTTGGCTGCTGTCAGCTGCGACAGTTTCTTAGACTTTCCTAGTTTTGTGATAACTTTGACAGCTTTGAGGAGTGCTGGTTAGATATTTTGTAGAATGTTCCTCAGCTGAGACTTTTCTGATATTTCTCTTATGGTTAGAGTGGTGTACATTTTTGGGAGGCAGATGGCAGAGGTAAGAGTGCCTTTTTTATCACATCACATCAAGAGTATACACTATCAGTATGAGTTATTGTTGAAATTATCAGTCA